GCGATGGATTATCAAGTTTGCAACTTACTTTCAAATAGTTAAGGAGGGGAAAGAAGTTATTGGTATTGTACTTGAAACATTTATGTAAAATGGAGATATTTTTCAAAAACAAGACTTAAAAAATATTAAAAACCTGCTCTCTCCTCCTTAGAAGAGTTGTCTATACTCCAATTCTTTTTTTCTCATTTTCTCTTGAACAACTCCAATTAGCTTCCATTCCCATTAATGATCTTGCTCAGGTCACCAATGATCTCTATGCTACTAAATCCAAGAATAATTTTCAATCCTCACCTTGCCAGACACATCAGCAGAATGTAAGTCTGACTAATCTTTTTTGACTCATTTTCTTTGCTTATATTCCAGGACCTCACACTTTTCCAGCCTCCTGTGCTGTTACCTTCTCCCTGGGCCTGACCTCTAAGAAATGGGGTGCTCCAGAGTGAAGACTCAGCCCTTTACTTTTCCTTCTCCTTTTGTGACCTCATCCAGCCTCCTGGCTTGAGGTAACACACGTGCTGGTGGCTGACTATAATTTAGCTCTCCAGCCCACGTTCCTTTTCTAAACTCTGGACTTCCATAACCACTGCTTACTCCATATTTTCCGCTGGATGTTGTCCAATAGATATCTCAAGTTTAACATGTTCAACATCTCCCCACATCAATTAATGGCAACTTCTTCCTACCGGTCAGTCCAAACAGCTTAACTCTTATCCTTTCCTCATGCCCATGACATTAGCAAGTCTCATTTAGTGTCTCTAGCCTAGAAGTCACTACCATTTCTTATTGAAGTTACCCAAGAGGCCTCCTTACTGGTTTGCTTCCATACTTGCTCTCTACTGGTTCCCAGATTAACTCTGGCTAAAAGCAAAGTCCCTACATAGGGCTACAAACCACACAATCACTTACTCCAACCAAATTGGCTAAAAATAAAAACTTTGATAATACTTGGTGTGGCTCAGTGCTTGGGCATGACCCATGCACCAAGAGGTCACCAGTTTGATTCCCTTTCAGGGCATACAGGAGGCAGCCAATCAATGATTTTCTTATCACTGACGTTTCTCTCTCTCTCTCTGAAATCAATAAAAATATTTTAAAAAATCAATTAATATATATATATATATATATATATATATATATATATATATATTTTTTTTATTTTTTTTTATTTTTTTTTAAGAAAACAAAACATGTTGTAGGAAATCTAGAAGGGGGTAAAGAAGAAAATAAAAACCACTGGCAACCCAGATGAAGCCTCAATTAACATTCTGGGACATTCCTATAAAAGGCAGGGTTCAGTGAGGCAGAACCTGAAATGTTTGCAGTGCTTTGCTGGTGCCTTGGTGTCATCCGGGGAATGGGAGTAAGGGGGTCTGGCAGTTTGGCTCCCCTGTTTGGGAAATCCAGAAGAAAGGGTCACCCTGAATGATGAAGCAAATATTCACCATTGTTCGTGGAGAGGGCAGTGAGGTCACCTTCACGCTGCAAGCATACTTTGCAAACGGAGATATGAAGTGCCCTGCCAGAGTGAGGATCGAGTGGTCTTTTAGCCTCGAAGTACAAGAGAAATCAGTTTCCCAGGAGTGTCTTTAACTCGCCTGTGTGCTCCCCTCCACAGAATTACTTCAGGTGGAGTATTTGTCTGTGTGGCGGGCACACAGTATGAGGGCCGCAGGATGGCTCACTTGGGTGTAGCACCCTTTGTAGCTGGAGGACTTAGGACCAGGAGCTGCCCGCCTTGGAACAGTGGGTGAGGAGGAGCTGGCTCCAGATATGGCTGATGCCACCCTGCTTTGGTGACGGACAGTCATTTTCCCAGCCAGCCCACACTGCCCAGGGACAAGGTGACAGCTTGCATTTACAAGCACGGGACAACAGAGCCTGGTAGCAGACTGACCAGACCCTGGTGACTCAAACATGGATGCAGCCATTGTTGTCAGCTTTTAAGAGCTGGAATCCAAAATCAAACCCATCATGCCAAGCTTCTTTCCAGAAAGGAAATAGGATAAATATGCTGCAGGCCAACAATTCTGTTCTAACAAGGCAATGGTGTAACCCATCAGGTTCAAACAGAGAAAAGATGAAAAACCAAGAAAGAGTAAGTTAGGAGAAGGAGGATGTAGACTTCTTTGAGCCCACCTGACAAGAAGCAGAAATGTGCAGTTTGGTGATATCGTACTTAAGCCCATACATGCAGAAGGCATAGTGGGATAGGAACCTGAAAGTAGAAGATGGAAGAAAATGGGATATATATATATATATATATATACACACACACACACACACACACACACACACACACATATATATATATATATATATACATACATACATACATACATACATACAGTTAATCCTCACCCGAGGATATTTTTTCATTACTTTTAGAGAGAGTGGAAGAGGAGAGAAAAACATGATGTGAAAGAGACACATAGTTTGGTTGCCTCCTGCACGTGCCCTGATTTTTTTTTTTTTGGGGGGTGGTGGGCGGGGGTGGGGAGACAACGGCAGGGATGGAGCCTGCAACCAAGGTCCATGCCCTTGATCGGAATTGAACCCTAGACTCTTCAGCCTGCAAGCTGACACTAACCACTGAGACAAACTGGCTAGAGCTTTAGTTTTCTTTAAATATCAGAATCCTGCCTTTTTAGTGTAGCTCAGTTGGTTGGAGCAAAATCCCAAAGACCAGAAGGGTACATACTTGGGTTGCGGGTTTGATCCTCAGTCAGGTGCATGTGGGTAAGGATTAAAAATATATATGGCCAAGATCAGTTTAGCTCAATGGATAGAGCTGGATAAACAAACAAACAAACAAACAAAATATATACATATTGATTTTTACAGAGAGGGATAGAGAGCTAGATGAGAGAGAATCATCAATCAGCTGTCCCTTGCACACCCCCCACTGAAGATGTGCCCGCAACCAAGGTACATGCCATTGGCCAGAATCAAACCTTTCAGTCCACAGGCCAAAACTCTATCCATTGAGCCAAACCGGTCTCGGCCATATACATACCCTTCTGGTCTATGGGATTTTGCTCCAACCAACTGAGCTACACTAGCAAGTGCAGGATTCTGATATTTAAAGAAAACCAAGACATTTGAATTGACCTTTTTCTAAGTCTTACTAATTTCTTCAACGATGACATAAACTAAGGGAAATAGAAAAGAGGCCAGACTGAGGGAGAGGGTAGGAAGAGCAGAGCTAATGGGACCAGCTGGTCTGGCTCAATCTCCTAATCCTCTTCAGGTAAGGAAAACCAAGGCCTGGAGAAGGAATGCCATGCTCCCCATAAAACCAGACACAGTGGCTAAAAAATCCCTGGACTAAAAACAAAGAAACAAACAAAAAAACAAACCCTGGACTTCCAGCCCATTGCCCACAACCCCAGCACATCAGGAGGGACCCACAGGCCAGAAAAGGAAGAGGAGAGTAAAGTCAATAAGAAAGCAAAGCTACACGCCCAAAAAGGAACCACTCTCTTACGGCTCCATCACTTCTCAGCCTTGGGCAACCAGGGAACGTTTCTGAGCCGGAAGTCTTCATCTGTGAAATGAGGACGGTGGTGCTTCCCCCAGCCGGGCTGTGGTGGGGGTTAGGGACCAGAGGACTAGCAATGTGGCAGGTGTTTATTTTAATGGGGAATTCTTTGTACCACTCTCTCTGGAGCATTAGCCTGGAGACACTGCTGGAAGGAGCTAGTGTAAAAGGAGGTGCTTGACACTCTCCACACTCCCCATCTTCCCTGGGCTCGTCAGAGTGTCACTGAGCTGTGAATGTGCCCAGCACCACTCCCTGACCTTGGCTCAACTGTGGTGTCTACAGGCCCCCATGCCCACGATGAAGTGTCTAGAGTCCCAGCCTCAAGGCCAGGAGCACCGAGCATGCACACTGCCCAGGCGGCCTCCAGCCTATATGTCAGGTAGGCACGCTGAGGAATCACCCTGCACCTCGCAACCAGGTGGGCAGGAGCTGACAACGTGAGATGAGCCGTCATGGCCCAGCTCCATGCCCAACAGGAAATCCAAGAGCTGGAGGGCGGCAACCAGCCTCTGTCCTTCTCGTGCCACGGGGAGTGAAATAACTCCTGGAAGTCCGCCCTGCACAGCCCCGTCCTGGCCGCCCCTTCCGGGAGTGAGACTTTGAGACCATGGGAACTCCTGGTTGGAATGAGGTAGGAGAGGGGAAAGCCCAAGCTCTGAGGAAACATTAGAAGGTGGCAACAGTTTGGGATCCAGCTGCCTCCCTTCATGGTAACAGGAGACGAGAGACACTTAACTTGGCTTATCCTCCAGCCCCTGAAGCTCAGATGTGGAGGGCCTCCCTCACTGGATGTGTTCAGGGTTTAAGTGCATGCCCACGGCTACCCTGCCCAAGCCCTGGACCAGGGCAATCTCCCCAAGCCAGGCCTAAGCAGACCCAACCCCTCAACTCCAGGTGACCCAGCCAGACCCCCCTGGAAGGTGGGCTGCTTCATAAGGCGCCTAAGACAGAGCCTCACCCACACCCCCTCACCCTCTCACCCCCTCACCCGGGTGCCCACACAGTCTCCACCCACTTGTCCACCTCTGAGTCCTCCCACAGAACACGCCGAGCCGGGGGCACAGAGGGGCCTTCATGTTTTATTGGGGAAACTGCAGAAGCAGAGGCTGGAAGCAGAGCAGCCGCGTCTATAACGACAGATAAATTAACCGCAGTGCGGGATGAGGGTGGGGAGTGGGGATTGGGCCGGGTGCTTTAATATATAAAAAAAACAACAACAAAAAGACTGACAAGTGACCCCAAAGACATGGGACAGGGGAGGGCAGCACCATCCAGACAGCAAGGAGGACCAGGGCAGATGAGAGAGAAGGCAACGTGACCCCTCACCCCCAAACTCCACGGGCGCGGGGCCTCCGGCTCTCCCCGGGGGGCGGGGGCGGGGCCTCCAGCTCCCCCCGGAGGGGCGGGGCCTCCGGCTCCCCCGGAGGGGCGGGGGCGGGGCCTCCGGCTCCCCCCGGAGGGGCGGGGCGGGAGCAGCCGGGTTGCCGGAGATGGCACAGCTGGCGGGCAGAAGCCCAGCACCACAAGACGGCTCAGCCTGAAGTAGGAGCTGGGGCTGGGCAGCGGCCTGGAGCCCAGTCCCTCAGAGGAAGAGCCTTACGCTGGGTGAGACGAGGGACCGAAGGCGGGGTCTCTCCCTGAGCTGAGAGTGGTCTTCTCCTCCACGGCCGCGGAGGGCAGTGGGGTGCCGGGCGCCCCCTTCACCGTCTGATCCATCTGCCTCTTTGGTCCCTGCGGGAGGAGCCCCATGCCCCGAGGGGGCAGGGCCCGAGGAGAGCCGGTCCAGTCTGTCTGCGAGGGGCCGAGGCCAGCTCCTCAGCCCTGGCTCCCACAGGAGGAGAGCGAGTCGTAGAGCGAGTCGCTGAGAGACTCTGAGGTCTCCAGGCCTGGGGGGCCCCCGCTGGCCACTCTGCCTTCCTCACCCACGTCCGAGGTGCTGGGGGTGCGGCTGCCCCCGAACGCCGGGCCCTGGGGCGGCGTGGTGGCGGGGCGGCTGCGCTCCAGGCTCCGCTTTCGGTCCACGGGCAGGGCCTGGGAAAGGAAGGGAAGCTCAGGAGGAAACTCCCACCTCCCGGCCCTGCCCGAGGCCTGGGCCTGCCCTGGGGTGGGGGCCCTGCAGATGGGCCCACGATGGAGGGAGGGGGCGGGGGGAGGGGGCGATGCACTCAGGGGAAGCTGGCTGGAGGCATGAGTGAGCACAGTCCTACCACGGTTCTGTGGGAGGAGAGAAACCCTTTCCAGAGAGGTGTAAGAAGGGAGACGGGCCGGGACCGGTTTGGCTCAATGGATAGAGCGTCGGCTTGGGGACTGAAGGGTCCCGGGTTCGATTCCGGTCAAGGGCATGTACCTTGGTTGCGGGCATATCCCCAGTAGGGGGTGTGCAAGAGGCAGCTGATCGATGACTCTCTCTCATCGATGTTTCTAACTCTCTATCTCTCTCCCTTCCTCTCTGTATAAAATCAATAAAATATATTAAAAAAAAAAAAAAAGGGGGGAGTCGGGGCCTGGCCAGTGTGGCTCAGTGGTTGAGTGTCGATCCATAAACCGGGAGGTCACAGTTCAATTCCCGGTCAAGGCACAGGCCCGGGTTGCGGGCTTGATCCTGTGCAGGGGGCAGGAGGCAGCTGATCAATGGTTCTTTCATCATTGATGTCTGTCTCTCTCCCTTTCTCTTCCTCAATAAAAACATTAAAAAAAAAAAAAAAGATTGGAATGAGGGGTTGAGGGCAAGCATGTGATACTTTGATCAATAAATTAAAAAAATAGTAATAAAATAGGAAAAAAAAGGGAGGTGGGTGGGTTGCTCAAAGGGGCATCCAAGGGGCTCTCCACTCAGTCCTCCTCCAGGAAGGGCTGCGCTCCCAGGAAACACCGGTCTCTCCCTTATCCCCCTGCCGCCCTCTTACGTCCTCCCCCTCCCCCACGCTCACCATGGGGGTCCTGGGCAGCCCCTCCAGCTGCCGGGGTGGGCACAGGAAAGGGTCCGTGGAGCCGCCGGCTGCCCTGGCGTTGGGGAAGGTCCAGTTTTTGGCCAGCTGGACGGGAGGGGGCGGTCCTGGGTCTTCGCAGGGATCTGTGTGGGGACAGGGGGAGGCGGTGGTGGCGGGTGGAGCACGGGGACGCCCCCCCCCCCCGCCCCGTGCAGACACTCACCGTCAGGGCAGGGCTGGTGGCCGCGGTGGCCGGGAGCCGCGGGGAGCAGTGCGGGGAAGGCGGGCATGCTGGGGTGCCGCCCGCTCACCAGCAGCTCCTCTATTCCGGGCACCTCGCGCTCCAGCGTGTGGGCGCGGCGGGGGACTTTGGTGAGGGGTGGCGGCCGAGCTGGGGGACCCCCGGGTGGGGGCTCCAGCCGCAGTGGCTTGGTCTTGGGAGGATTCTTGCTGGGGGTCCCACTGCTGCCATGGTCTGGGGGCGGGAAGGTCCCAATGCCACTGTCCAGGGTTCGAGTCAAGGAGCCACAGGCTGGGGAAGGGGAGGGCGAGTCATGAATGTGAGGCTGCAGATGGCTCCTCCACTCTGCCTTCTTCCAGTTTCCTGCCCCAACCTCGGCGCCACCCCTGGTCCAGGCCCCTCCAGGTTCAACAGGCTAGGCTGTCCCTGCCTTCCCCCAGGTTTGGGGAGGCGTGGCAGGTATCCCAAGCATAAGAGGTGATATATTTCTATGCAGTCCCAGGGCCCGCCTGGTGATTGGTGCCAATATGGCATTCAGGGCCTGCCATCCGCTGCAGTGACAGGAAGGGGTCAAGCTGATCTACAGACCTGTGAAGTGGGAGGTGGGCACTGGCTCGGCCAGGCTGACCTCTGAAGGCATCTCTTCCCGCCTTCCTGGCTCGCTGCTCGGCTGTGGGAAACAGGAGATCTCTGAGCACATTCGTCCCCTCCCCCAAACCCCAAACCCCTCTCCTAGCCTCAGCACTAGAACCCCTGAAGCATGGATCTGAGTGCCCAACGCCTTCTGGCTTCCAGGAAGTCCTCTCCCCTTCCCAGCACCCTCCCATCCCCCACCAGAAATGCATCCAGCAGCTCCCAGGCCTCAGGGAGGGGAGCCCTCCAGGGTTAGGAGATCGGACAAGACCAAGAGACCAGCCCTCCACACAGCCCTTGTCCCAAGACCTTACCTTCCCAGGTTTCCCGCAGCTCGGCAGAGGGCCCACCAGGCCATTCCGGGGTCCACAGGCTGGCCAGGGGTTCTTGGGGTCAGAGGACACTGGCTGGAAGTCACCATACTCGGGTTTGGGCTCCCTCCAGCTCTTGGGTGGCAGCTCCTTGCCATCCACCCTAGGGGCAACAGTGCAGGAGATGAGGGAGGCCTTGTTCCCAGCCATGGGGAGGGTCTAGTGGGACCCTCCCCACCCCGTCCCTGGGGAAGGCGACATATCGTTGGTGATTGCCCACAACAACCCTTCTGACAAGGGGACTGGCGGAGACCCTAGACTCTAGGAACCCCAGAGGGATAGCCGGAGCTGGGAAGGTGGGAGAACTCTCCCAAAGCGACCAGGGTCAACCTTAGAGACCACCCAACCGTGTTGGCAGACAGACGGCAAACCTGGTCACACACAGCACGCCCTGCCTGGCCCAGCTGAATCGGAGTGCTCTTGCTGTCCAAATCACACTTACCCGGGGCCCAGTTCCTGCAGACATTCTGCCTTCACCTGGCCCAGACAGGGCGACCCCAAGGTGGGAGGCCACGTCTATAAACCACAGCTCCCACTGCTGGGTCTGCGGCAGATGCCAAAGAGCGAGATGGGAAGGAGACCCGGCCCCTCTTTGTTCTAGAGCAGGAGTGGGTACCTTTTTTTTCTGCCAAGAGCCATTTGGACATTTATAGCATTATTCACTGGCCACACAAAATTATCAACTGAAAAATTTATCCTGTTGACCTAGCCAGTTAGGCTCAGTGGGTAGAGCGTTGGCCTGCAGACTGGAGACCCGGTTCAATTCTGGTCAAGGGCACGTGCCTTGGTTGAAGTTTGATCCCCAGCCCTGGATGAGACACGAATTGATGTCTCTCTCACATCGATATTTCTCTCTCTGCCTCTTCCCCTCCCTTCCATTCTCTCTAAATATCAACGCAAAAATACCCCTGGGTAAAGATTAACAACAATAAAAAATTATCCTGCTATAGTTGGTCAAACATTTAATTAGCTCACCCTTAATGCCTCGGCAGAGCCAGACCAAATGATTTTGTGGGCCTTATACGGCTCTTGGGCTAGATGTTCCCCATCCCTGTTCTATAGAATGGGAAACCCCAGAGTGAGACTTCATCAGGCACGCTCAGGAACTAGCACCTCTTTGACTGCTGTGTGCAGGCATGTAGGTGGGCTGCCTCATCCGACACCGGAGATGATCCAGGAAAAGTGTGGACAGTTCCCTCTTCCCAAATGAGAAACTGGGTCTCAGCAAGTCTGGTAACAGCCAGAGAGGCAGGGAGCTGGGGAACAAACACCCCCATCTTTCCTCTTGGTCAGACCACTAACACCCACCCCCCGCCCCCAATATTTTGGTAGCATTTTGCTTGACCTCTGACCTCTGTGAAGCCTAAGCTCCCAGGCCAAGCATTCCCAGCCAGTCTCTGGTCACCCACGGGGAGACAAGTGCCCTCAGTCACCAAGCACCTGCGACCGGTCCCGGGCCCTCACCTGTTGAGCAGCTGCTGCATGAAGGTGTCTGCGCCCTGGTACATGCCAGCCAGCTGGCCCTGGACCTGCCCCAGCCCCGCGCTGGGCCCCGGCGCTGGGCCCCCGGGCCGCGGCCGGGCCCTGCTGCTCAGGTAGGCCTTCTCCTCCTCCAGCGCCCGGCGCAGGTCCTCCGCCTTCGCCATCAGCTTGGAGATGTTGAGGCTCTCTGCCTCCAGCTTCCGGGACTCCCCCTTTCCCTCCTTCCGGAGCGGGGAGCCTCCGCCGGCCCCTTCCTTGCTCTTGGCGGCCTCGGGGCGGCGGTTGAGTGCCGGCAGCTTGCTCTTCTTCAGGCCAAACCAGCTGGCGATGCTGCTCGTGTTGCGGTGCTTGGCCTCGGTGCCCGGCGCCCGCTCCTGGCCCTGGAGCCGCAGGACATTCTCCTCGATGCCCTTCATCACCTTCTCCTCGATGGCCGAGTGGAGGGCCCGCCCCTCTGGGCCCTGGCTCGGGTCGGCAGGGCCAGGTGCCGAGGGTGCGGGCGGAGCCGTGGTGCCCCCACAGTCTGCCCACGGTGGGCCCTTCCCCTTGTCAGGCTTCGGGGGCTCCTTGGTGGCTGGCAGGGCCGCGGGCCGGGGCACCACCTTGGTGGGTGACTTGGAGGGCAGTTTTGTCGGGCTGCCGTGGGGGCTCTTGCTCGGCTTGCCCAGGCTGGGGGCTGAGGTTGGTGTTTTGGCAGGGGTGCGGGGTGCCTGGGGACACAGGGCCCCTGCCAGCCGGCTCTTGGCCAGCTCCACTTTGGTGAGGCAGCTCCTCGGTGAGACGGGCTCCAGGTCCACCCGGGCCCCCATGGAGTGGGAGGAGTAGACGCGGGCCCCAGGGTCCCCCAGGAGCCCGGGCTCCTGCTGCTTCAGGCTGCTCGTGCCCAAGGCCACTGCCCCCCGCAGGGCCCCCTTGGCGTCTGGCTGCTCAGGGGGCCTGGGGATGGAGAGCGCCAGGTCCCCAGCACCCTCCCCGGACCTCCCTGCTCCCCGCACCTTCTCCGCGCCAAGCCTGGCTGGCGCCCCGTTCTTCTCTGGGCCCGGGGACCCCTCGGGGCCGGCCTTCAGCTTCCCCAGGGCTGCCAGTCTGTCCCGCAGGGGTGTGTGGCCGGGGTCTCCGGGTCGCCGTCCTGACCCCTGGCCGGGCTTCTTGGCGGAGCTGCCTGGGGTCCGGCGGCCAGGATGGGGAGACTCCAAGCCCGCCTTGTCCAAATTCTTCTCCTGGGGGCTCCCGTAGGGGCAGGATTCTGGGAGGCAGGGGCTGAGGGGGGCTCCGGGGCTTCTGAGGACCTCGGGGGCCTGCTGCACCTCCAGAGTTAGTTGTGGGTAGGTGGGCACCTGCAGCGGGGATGGGGGTGGCTCTGGAGAAGGCCCCCTGAAGGCGCTCCGGGAGAGGTCCAGGATGTTCTCGTAGCAGGGCGACACCGCGGCCCCGGGGGACCGCGCGGCGGAGAAGGCTGGCGGGGGCGGCCGGAGCTGTGCGGAGTCCGGGGCTGCGGAGCAGGGCGAAGGGCTGGTGGGCAGGCCCTGCACCCCTTCTGGGGACAGTTCTCCAGCCAGGCCCTTTCGGGCCAGCAGCGGGGAGGGGCTGCCATCCGAGCCACTGTTCCTGCAGGGGATTCGGGAGTTGCGGGGGAGCTGAGGGCTGAGCTGGGGGCCTCCGGGGCTGGGGACCTTCTCTGAGGCCGGAGGCAACTTTAGAAACTTGAGCCCTTTGGCTGGAGAGGGCAGGAGGGGTCCCGGGGCTTCCCCAGGAGAGGGGGAGCCAATTTGGAGCTTGCTTTTCACCTGAGATGAGGGGTGGGGGTGGCCGGGCCGCGAGCCCAGGGGGGCGCCGCCCGCGCTGACGAACATGCTGAGGAAGGGGAGGGGCTCCGGGCCCTCACCGCCCGGCCTGTGAGCCTCTGGAGAGCCTCCGCCCCACGTGGACCTGGGGAAGCCTTTGGACTTGGATAGCTGTGGGCCCTGGTCTGGGGAGGACGGCTGCCCGGAGCCTGGGTGGTCCCCGTGGAGTGGGCCGGCGGCCCCGGCCAGGAAGGCCTGCAGGTAAGACTCCGTGTCCTCCAGGAGCTGACCCAGGTTCAGCTGCTTGTGGGCCAGGGCCCCAAGCAGGGTGTCGGGGCTGGGCGCCTCATTGGGGTCGCCGGCCTCATCAGAGGAGGAGGAGGAGCTGCTGCCCGGCGCACAGGGTGGGCCGGAGACGGCACCCTGGGCCTGCAGGGGGCCCCGACTGGGGCCCCAGGGCCGCCCAGCACCCTCTTCCTCCCCCTGGCTCCCCAGGAGGCGCTCCCAGTGCAGCAGGCCGCCCAGGCTGCCGGGGCCCAGGAGCAGGTAGGGGGGCCAGGGTGAGGGCTCAGGCTGGGGCGGGCCACACAGCTCGCCATTGATGGGCTCCGGGGAGCCAGGACCCTCACTTGGAGGCCGCCAGGGGGTGGCAGGGGAGCAGAGAAGCAAGGGGTCAGTCTCTTCCAGGGCTCTCAGCACCTCCAGGATCTGGGCTTTCTTTCGAAGAAACGGGGACAGGGCGTCCAGCGCTGGGGGTGGGGTGGCCGGGGGTCCTGGGCCTCCTGGCCGCAGCTGCTGCTCCCAGCACACCTTGGGGGAGAAACAGCATAAGGAGACCACGGACCTGAGCTGCGCCCAGGGCCCAGGACCTGAGCTGCGCCTCACTGTGTGTGGCAGGAACACAGCCGGCCTGGTGCTGCCTCTGCCCCCAAAGGAACTGACAGCTCCTGGGATCAGATGGCTCATCCCCCCTAAGGATCACTGAGCCCCGGTTAGTCCGGCTCTTTCCCGGCATGACTGGTTGGGTGGGGACCCCATTTCCCTTCCTGGTTATCCCCGCCTTGCTTTCCCACCGCTTCCCAATGCAGTGATCACCTACATCACTGGCAGCTACACTTGTCCCGGGCAGGGAGGCCTGTTCGTTTTTCAGGCTCAGAAAGAACATGGACTCAAGAAGGGGATGTGATTCGGCCAATTCCTAAGCCGCTGCAGCAAGCCCTGGTGCTCACAGGTCAGACAGCGGCCTGCTGGCCTGGCCTCCGTGGAGGAGGATTGGGAATGGCTCTCCTGCAGGCCCATCCCGGCTTCTCCCGGCCCCTTCTTGTGCCCAGTCCCGTCTGTGGAGCCAGACTGTGCAGCTTCAAGTACCAGATCTACTACTAACGAGTTACATGGCCTGAATCTTCAAGCTTCATAGAATCACCTGTAAAATGGACGCTAGTTATGTTTAACCTCAGAAGGCAGGTGAGACCAGGGGCTCAGCACAGTGGCGGGCACACAGGAAATGGTGACTCTTACTGCAGAACTAACACAGCTGCTTGCAAGGCCAGTGGTTGGGGTGGGATCTGTTTCCTGGCAGGAGGTGGCACAGCCTGGCCGAGAACCTGTGCGCGGGGCACGGCCTCCCCTGGGATCATCAGGACACAGTGATGGGGGCGGCGGACAAGCCCCCGGCGCCCGGCCCTCCTACCTCTCTCTGCCCAGCACAGCGCCCCAGAGGCAGCGAGGTGGCCAGTCCCTCGGCGGAGCTCAGGGAGGGGGAGGCTGGCGGCTCTGATGGAGGCTGGAGGGGGGTAAGTGGGACCTGCAGGGAGAGGCAGAGTTAGCGCCAGTGCTCTGTCCCAGGTCCTACTTCTCCATGACCCAGGCCTTCCCCTCCCAGGGCGGGAAAAAGCGGCCCCTTCAGGGACATCTCCTGACCCAACGTACGCTTTCACCACCGTCCCCATCACCTGGCCAAGGAGCCTTGGGAGACCGAGGCACGGGCAGACTGAAGAGGTGCACGCCCAGGTGGCAGGAAGGCGAGCGGCCCAGGGGCTCTGGGGGAGGAGACGCGGCTCCTGGCCCTCAGGTGCCACTGCTGGTCCAGGAGCGCTCTGCTTTTCCTCAGGGCCCTCCCCGGTTACAGCGCGCAGCGAGGCCCTCCTGCTGACCGCCTCTGAGCCCTCCCCGATTACAGCGCGCACAGCGAGGCCCTCCTGCTGACCGCCTCTGAGCCCTCCCCGGTTACAGCGCACAGCGAGGCCCTCCTGCTGACCGCCTCTGAGCCCTCCCCGGTTACAGCGCGCACAGCGAGGCCCCTCCTGCTGACCGCCTCTGAGCCCTCCCCGGTTACAGCGCGCACAGCGAGGCCCTCCGGCTCTGACCGCCTCTGAGCCCAGCACCGCAGGCGGAGACCAAGGGGAGGGCACTTATTACTGGGTTCCAGAAGACGGTGGTGCCAGTTATCACTTCTGTCTCCCTCCCTTAACTAGTCTCGTGTTAAACTTGTACTTTGAGGGTGACAAAAGTAGCACTGAGTCATGGGTCACTTCTCTCTCAGTCCCTGAGGGTGTCGCTTCCTTCGCATTGGCATTTCAACTAGATCGTGGTCAACGTTCAGTGCCTCTGTCTCTCTCTCTGTCTCTCTCTCTGTCTGGAGCTTTTATTTATTTATTTATTTTAAATATATTTTATTAATTTTCCACAGAGAGGAAGGGAGAGGGACAGAGAGCTAGAAACGTCGAGAGAGAAACATCAACCAGCTGCCTCCTGTACACCCCCCACTGGGGATGTGTCCGCAACCAATGTACATGCCCTTGACCGGAATCGAACCTGGCCTCAGACCCCAGACCGATGCTCTATCCACTGAGCCAAACCGGTTTCGGCTCTCTCTGGAGCTTTTAGATCCTGTCTTGGCAGCGTCTCTGCCTCCCCCCGGCCACCTGCAGCCGCCCCGTCAGCCCAGGTCCTCACACCTCCTGCTGGATGCTGCTCAGCATCTCAGTCTCTCTGACTTGGGTGGCCTTTCCACCTCCGATGTACAAGGCAGCCTGAAGCATCTTTTTCTTTTTCTTCTTCTTTTTTCTAAAGCATCTTTGTGCTCAAAGCCTCCTATGCCTGCCCACTGAAGACAAGTCTGAACTCCTCTGCCCGCATTCCAGCCCAGCTTGCCTGGTCTTCCCGGCTGCAGCTCTGTCTCTCACGGCTCCTCACACTCCCTTTGTTCCAGCCCCGTGAACAGCTTGCCGCGACCTAGGCTTCCTGCTCTGTGCCTTCCACAGGGAATCGCGTTTCTCTGCCCCCATGGCACTCTCTTTAAGTCTCTCATCCATCAGGGCCCAGATCCAATGCGCCTCGTTAAGGGAGCCCTCCCCGCTGGCTCCGGCAGTGCTGCCACGCTCTGCTTTGTGCTGCCGCCGCCTGCGACCTGCCTTCGCTCTGCAGTCCCGGCCTTCAGGGGTTACATTTGCTCTGCCCGGGCGGGCGACGGCCCTGTCCGGTCCCATATGTGCTGGCAAAGGCACTACTCACAACAAGGGCTTAATTAGCATCTCAATGGGGCTTTCCTCCTAGAAGAGCACGATTTGGGAATAACATGAATAATGATAAATAGCCGCCGCCGGATATTGACCTTCTACTACGGGCCAAGCGCTATTTATTATCTTACTTAATCCTCGTGACAACCTGCAATATAGGGGTTCCCATAAGGAAAAAACGGTGGCTTGTAAGATTATATAATCTGTCCAAGGTCACATAGCTAAGAATTAGCTAAGTTAAAGGAGTTTATCTGAGGTGCATGCTCTTTCCATTATGTCATCAATTACCTCTATGACCCCCAAACCCCAAAATTCATCTAAAAAGCCAAAATTCAAATCCCAGAATTAATTTAAGAAAGAAAGAAAAAAAAAAAGACTTAAGGATGATCTGTACCTCTTTCATCACCAGTTACTGAGAAGGAATGGACGGGGTGAGATCGGCCAGTGTGGTTAGGCCTCTCGAATTCCAGGGTGAACGCTGTAGCTGGGCAGGACCAGGGCAGGGGGGCTGCAGTCCCTGGCGCTGATTCACTCAGCTCTGTGCCTGCCTGGTGACCGGGATCTACACAGGCAGGTCAGGCCTCGCAGGGAGCTGAGGGCGTCCTGCCCAGGGTCTGGGCGCCAAGAGCTGCCCAGTTTGTATCAGACGCGCACACACACAGAAGGTGCTTCTTTTCTTGTCAAGGTCAGAGGTGGGGCGGGTGCGCCGGCTGACTTCAGAGTCGGAGCTGCTCCTGCTCCTCCTGCCCCCATGTCTCACCCTGTCCTTGAGGCTTTCTGACAGCGTGACCCCAAAGGAACACAGGATTCACCCGAGTAACCCCTGCTTCTCCCGGGGAAGGCAGGTGTCAGGGCTAGAAGCAGGGACCAACCAGGGCCTACGGCCACGCCTGAGTCAGTGGGTGAGCATAGGGGATGGGACAAAAGTAGGTTTACAGTTGTTTGTATGGAAAATAAGACAAGAATAAATAATAATACAAGAATAAACTCTGGCCGAAACCAGATTGGCTCGGTGGTAGAGTGTCGGCCTGCGGACTGAAAGGTCCCAGGTTCGATTCTGGTCAAGGGCATGTACATTGGTTGCGGGCACATCCCTGGTAGGGGGTGTGCAAGAGGCAGCTGGTCGATGTTTCTCTCTCATCGACGTTTCTATCTCTTTCCCTTCCTCTCTGTAAAATATCAATAAGATATATTAAAAAAAAGAATAAACTCTGTGTTTTGTAAACCTCATTTTGCCGCACCCCGTATGCAATGGGCTCACAGACAGAGTTACCCGGGCAAGTGCCTTGCTGACCTCTCCGTGACACCGCGCTGGGTGCCTTCCACCCGCCCCGCCCCTGCCCCTGGCCAAGAAGAGGCCGTGCAGTGGCCAAAGGGGCCCCTGGGGAGCGTGCAATGATTACGATTTCAGCTTCCACCCATCTCCCCACACGAGGAGGGTAAGCAGGAGCCTTCTCTGTCAATAAGAAGGAATCCCATCCATCTGGGAGGGAAGCCTGCAAGGTGGGGGGTAGCTCGGCTTGAGGGGATCCAGGGAGTTTTCACCCCGTCTAAGGCACAGACCTATTGGGCCAGGCGGGCCTTCCCTGGGCGGACTGCCTCCGGAATGGAGGGAGCACTGGACAGTCTCTTCTGCAGATGTTTTGGGGGAAAGTGGGTGGAGATAACGATGGGGCTGGGGGAGGCAGGAAACTGAGGTGTGAGGAGGGGAGGAGACTGGCTTATGCCCACCTGAGGGAGGGAGCCTGCCGTGAGCTGGAGCTTCTGCTGGAACAGGGAGCTCAGCATCTGGTTCTGTCGTTCGAGGTCAAACACTCTTTTCTTCAGCTTGATGCACTCCTCCCGCAGGTCCTGCACGGCCAGGCGGAGGAGGAGGAGGAAGAGAAGGAGACGATATGGAGGAGGGCGGGTGAGCATACAGTTCCCTTCATCAGAGCAGCGGGCAGCTCCTCTGGGAGGGAGGCTGAGCTATCCTCAGGGGGTGGCGAACTCTCTAATGTTAATCGCCCGTGGAGGGAGGTAACTCCCATTCCCATCGGCCCCTTCCCCAATCCTGGGGCCAGCCCGGCGCCTCTGAGAAACCACACATTAAAGAAGGGGCCACACAAGGCAGATCTAGGGGTCGGATGGACCAGGTGTCAAGAAGTTACACACAGCACTTGAGTAAATATTTAGATGCCTCCTTATGCTCCCAACATCAGCACTGCTTTCAGGTCCATTACCACCTGGGGCCAGGATACGAGGAGGATTCAGGCCCAAACCAAAGGCGCCATAACTCAGAGATCTGGCCTCGCCTCTGCCACCCCCGCCTCCAGGTCAAGCAGCACAGGCCTGTCTGAAGTGAGGAAGCGAGGGGTGGGGGAGGGTGGGGGCATCCGTGGGCCAACAGGACATTTCCACCAAGCTCCCTCCTCTAGACCCCCCAAAGGCTTAGCTGAGAGGGCTCAGGGTCCCCCGTGGGGGGGGGGGGGCTGGACTTGGGGGTGAGAAGCTCTCCCATGGCCGCTTACCTTTTGGTTCAGGAGTGCCTGTACCACGTGGTTGGCAACCTGGGGACAGAAAGGCCCGAGGCGGAGATGTCAGCCCACAGCCTTCTTATCTGGAGAAGAGGAACCAGCTCTGTTCCCAACCCTCCCCGCAGCAGCCCCTCCGCACACCCCACACACCTCGTCCAGGCAGCGCTCATAGGTCTCCCGCTGGCTTTCGTTGGCCTGGGCGAGCACCGAGTTCTCCGCCTGTGGGCGCGGGGAGAGGGCACAAAGGAGGCTGTGGGGCCTTCTTCCCTCAGGGCACCCTGCTTCCGGGGGAAAGGGGAGCCAAGGAGTCTGCCAGCGACAGCCCTGCCCCGGTCCCGGCTCCGGATGGGCTCTGCCACGGGAGGCCTATAGGGACGGGCCGCGGGCATCAGAAGGCCCAGCTCAGGGGTCTGGTTTTCTGTAGCCTCACCCTCCGCCAGTGACAGGAGGACCCCAGGTGGGAGGTGCCAAGAGTAATGCTTATTTCCCGGGGGAGAGGGCAGAGGAGACTGGCAGGACCTTAAGAATGTGGATGTGGGCCGAAACCGGTTTGGCTCAGTGGAGACAGCGTCGGCCTGTGGACTGAAAGGTCCCAGGTTCGATTCCGGTCAAGGGCACGTACCTTGGTTGCGGTAGGGGGTGTGCAAGAGGCAGTTGACCAATGATTCTCTCTCATCGATGTTTCTAACTCTCTATCCCTCTCCCTTCCTCTCTGTGAAAAATCAATTATATATATATATATAAAGAATGTGATGCAGGGCCTTAGTTTAAGGATCCATGTCCTTGTCCCTCAAATCCTCTAAACCCTCTTCCTCTGTGACCACCCTTTCCTCAAAGAGCATGAATGTGCGGGAGGCGTGGGGTCAGGCAGTGAGACACTGAGGGGTTAGGACAGCCCCGCCCCGTCCATGCCTGTGTCCCTGAGCTGGCACCTGGCCTGGAGAGCTGAGAGCAGGGCGAGGGCTTCTCAGAGGAGCTCCCCTAAGCAATGTTCGTCTCCGCTGCAGCCTGGCAAAGGGGGCCGGGAGGAAGGGCCACCGCACCCAAAAACACGCTCGGAGCAAAGGGCAGCCCTAAGGCCCACTCGCCCCGTGCCCACCTCCAGCTCCCGCAGCCGCTGCAGCAGCTCCTGGCAGGTGCCCGGCTCCATGCCGCCGTCGCCACCCGCTCCCGGCCTCGGTGCTTCAGGGCTCCCAGCCGGCTGGTCCATGGCCTCTGACAGCAGGTCCCGGGCAGGCTACTCCAGGGCCCGGGAGGTGCGCGGGGGATGGGGACAAAGATGAAACTTGTTAGTATTTTTGGAGTTTAGCTCAGTGGCACAGACAGTGTAACAACTCCATCTAAGTCTCTCTGGTCCCGGGAAAAAGACCCTCTTTCTTTCTAAAGAACAAAAGCCATTGGTTTGCAAACTCCTGTAACTCACTCACCCTATCACAGGTCACCCTGACCCTGGCCAGGAGCTGAGAAACCTGAATTCTCCGCCGAGACTGGCCTCCGCCTGGCACACTGTGTCCTCCTGGTGACCCTGGGAGGGGCCTGCCTGCCTCCAAGGACCCCTGGTCCTCTGCAGGGGCTCCACCCTCCACCCGCCTTCCCATCTGGCCGGCTCCTCCCTATGATCCCTCAGGGCTCCCAGGCCAAGTCCCCTCAGGTCTGTCACGGTCTCCCCCGGACTCCTGAGTCCCTGAGGGCATGTTCATTCCATGAGGGCATGTCACTGCCCAGGCTGACCCCTCCTGGTGTGACACCTGGTGTGCAGGAGACGGACGGAGCACTCCCTGCAGAGACCGGCCTGTGTGCAGTGCACACAGCGAGCCAGGCTTCTCCCCTGAGCTGTGCGTGTGATTGCCCCCCCCCCCCCCCCCCGCCCGCCCCACTGCTGCCATGGTTACTGCCTGGACGGACGAGGCTTCATCTTCCACTGGAGTTTCCATTTCTCTGCCAGAGGAAAGCGCTCATTTCCTCCTTCTGCACAAATATTATGGAAGTTTCCAGCCGATGGGAAGCCCTTCCTAACGCCAAAGGGTGGAGGCTCCGGTTTACAGCCCACTACTTGCCTCCCTGCCCCGAGGCCCCCACAGAGGAGCTCAGCACCACCGGACCCAGGAAGAGAGGAGCGCTGCAGCTCGTCCCCCAGGCATCTGGACGCTCTCTTCCGTCCTCCACGGCGGGGCACGGGGGCCTGTCCCTCCTCTCCCCCCCAGCCCTCCTCCTCCAGTCCCCACCGACAGCGCGCACAGGCCCGAGCCCCTCACCTGTCTGCGCCCTCGGCCAGGCGGGCGCACTCAAACCCCCAGCATGGTCACCTTGCCTGTGGAGAAACAGGGAGAGCATGTCAGCCGTGCCTGCCACACGCATTTATTTGGCTTCTGCTGTGTGCCAGACGCTGGGCCACAGGGGAGAAGCAGCCAGCGAAAGCCCTGCCTTTAGGAAGCTTCTATTCTACCGGGGGAGGCCGGTAAAACACGATAAACCAAGGGGCAGATGCTGGGTCCTGGTAAGACACTGAGAGGCGACCGCTAAGCAGAGACTGACTGAAGTCCAGATAAAATCCTGGGACGGAAAAAGCGTTCTGGGTAGAGGAAGAGCCAGCCCAAAGGTGCCAGCTCTCAGTCAGAAATCACTCCGACGCCAGGCGGAAATGAACAGTGACACACGGTGCTTTATGGCCCTTCCACAACCTATGTCTTCTTTCATCCTCATCACCACCTAAACCGACTTAAAAGCCATTATCAGCACCTGTATTTGAGATGAGAGATGAGAAACCAAGGAATAAGAGGTTACCCTTGCAGACACGGAATGCATCCTGTGTGCTGCCACTTTCTCATGCATCATTCCATTTGATGCTCCTGCCAGACCTGCAAGGGGAGCGCCAGCCTGGGGAGGAAGCGGGCTCCGGAGGCAGAAGACGCAGCCCAAGTCGCATGGCTGGTTCACAAAGCACACGGACGGGCCTGGACTCCGCCAGCCCCGGGGCCTCTCTGTGCACAAGTTGCACTGTGAGCTCTGCATAGTCAGTGAGCTCTGCACCGTCCCAGGCCCCGGGACAATGCCATTAACAGACCTGGGTTAGAATCCTGACTCTGCAAGATCGGTTCCTCACCTCTCCTCCGGGGATAAGAATACTGTGCAGAAAGGAAGACGAAATGAGATGATGGACGGAGAGTGTTGTGGGTGGACTCAGTAAACGGAAGCTTTTCATATCATCGCATCCGACCCAGGCACCGTGCGAAGTCCGGCCTATTCACAGGGAGGCAGACCCCGAGTTACCTTGGCCAGGGGTGCCGACGTATGGGCACCGGAAGCTCTGAGAGGGCTGCCCACACCGCCCTGCCTTCAAGGAGCCCCTTCTCCAGCCCTTTTCCCGCAGCTCTCCACCCCAGAGCCAGGCAGCCCGCCCTCTTCTGCGCCTGGCACCTAGGAAGAGGGGTGACAGCAAACAGGAGACCACCCCTTCCTGAGTGAGAATGTGTGCATGACAACGGGACAAACGGAAGACTAAAAGAAAAGAGAAAATGGTGTAATGTTTATTTTTAACACTACCACAACCTAAAGTTCTTTGTTGTTATTATTTTTTAAAATATATTTTATTGATTTTTTTTATTTTTTTAATTTTTTTTTTACCGAGAGGAAGGGAGAGGGATAGAGAGTTAGAAACATCAATGAGAGAAACATTGATCAGCTGCCTCCTGCACACCCCCTACTAGGGATGTGCCTGCAACCAAGGTACATGCCCTTGACCAGAATCGAACCTGGGACCTTTCAGTCCACAGGCCGACTCTCTATCCACTGAGCCAAACTGGTCAAGGCCGTTGTTATTATTTTTAAATGTTTTTATTGATTTTAGAGAGAGAGGATGGGAGAGAGAGAAACATCGATGTGAGAGAGAAATATCGATCGGTTGCCTCCTGCATGCACCCTGACCGTAGACTGAACCCATAACCTGGGGGCAACCCTTTGGTGCACAGATCAGTCACTACTCAACCGACTGAGCCATACTGGCCAGGGCAGTCCTTTGTTATTTTAATATCGTAAAAATGTCCCTAGCTGCCTGGTGGCATGGCTCAGTGGTTGAGTGTAGACCGAGGTCATGGTTTGATGCCCGGTCAGGGCATATGCCTGGGTTATGGCTCGGTTCCTAGTAAGGGGTATACAGGAAGCAGCCAATCAATGATTCTCTCTTAACATTGATGTTTCTATCTCTCTCCCTTCCTCTCTGAAATTAATAAAAATATAGTAAAAAATATACACCTAGTATAACTTCATTTGCTATAACATTTTCATATTTGATATGTTTAGAAATGGACAGGCCTTGAAAAAAAAATTCCAAGTAATATCCTCCTTCCCACATACACAAATAGGGGTTAAAACCACAAAAGGGCCTTGGGTTACCTCCACCACTGGGCCAGTCCACCCCACCCACCACTCATCTCTGGGCCGACGCCACTGGCTCCGGTCGGAGGGTCTCTGCTCAAGGAGAGGCCTGCCCCCAGGGGCCACTAGCTTTCCCTCAGCCCCCTTCCCATTGGTTTCCCCAGTGGGCTGGGGTGGGTGCAGACGTGCTGGGGAGTGTGAGGAACGAAGTTGGGAGGATGAAGGACAGGCGTGGGGTGAACAGGCAATGTCCAGGGGCCAGGAAAGAATAAAGCCAATGGCCTACCTCCATGGTCGGTAAACCGTGGCTCTCGGGCCACATGCAGCTCTTTGGCCCCTTGAGTGTGGCTCTTCCACAAAATACCATGGACTGGGTGAGTCTATTTTGAAGAAGTGGCGTTAGAAGAAGTTTAAGTTTAAAAAATTTGTCTCTCAAAAGAAATTTCAATCGTTGTACTGTTGATATTTGGCTCTGTTGACTAATGAGTTTGCCAACCACTGGCTAGCTGGTTTGATGCATAGAGAGCCAGCCTGCAGACTGAAAGGTCATGGGTTCGACTCCGGTCAAGGGTGCATGCCCGGGTTGCGGGCTCGATCCCCAGTAGGGAGTATGCAGGAGGCAGCCGATCAATGATTCTCTCTCATCACTGATGCTTTTAATCCCTCTTTCCCTCTCCTTTCCTCTCAGAAATCAATTTTAAAAAATAATAAAAAAACAGCTAAAACTGCAGAAGGCCCAAGTTTTGTGTTCCCCACACAACAAAAATCAAAGTAAGGGTGGTTTATGTTTTCCTAAACATAAATTTTTTCCTAAAAAAATAAAAACAGGGTTTGGCCCCAAGCTCTGAGCGGCCCCTGCTATGAGCAGCGGCAATATTAGGGGGAGACACAGGAGGCCCTGAGCGTACTTTCCCCAATCAGAGGGAGGAACCAGAGCCAGGCCAGGTCCTGCAGGGTTGGAGCCTAGCTGGCTACCCCTGTCAGCTCCTCCTGCCTGAACCAGATCCTGACGCAGAGCAGGGGGAGCTGGCACCGGGTGTGTGTGTGTGTGTGTGTGTGTGTGTGTGTGTGTGCAGCTGTGGAAATCCAGGGTTGGATCCAGGACTTGGGCTTCATTGGCCAGACCCACCATTAGAGAGCGGAGAGGGAGCTCCGCACTGAGCACCCATGGACACAAAGCAGGTAGAGCTGTGAAAAGGACGACGGCTGGTAAGCCCGCCTGCTCCAGGGGTTCCCGCCCGGCTCGGGGGGCTCTCCAAGCCCGCGGGCATCCCGGACAGGAAGTGGTCACCAGAGAGCTGCCTTATCTCCCTGCATTCCCGGCTGAACCAGCACAGGACTGAACACATGCCGGCTGTGATGTTCATCTCCTTCCTCCACATCAAGACGAGTCAAGCTCCTCAGGACCCACGTTAGTCAGTTCTGTGCTGACAGTATGGAACATCGGCCCACGCCCAGCCCACCTCAGCATCTCCACTCCGGAGAATAAGGCCCCCTATGCACGCAGCCAATGAACAAACACACAAATGGATGAAAGCACCCAGGTCAGACTCAAGGTCCCGAATGGGAGGACTGGCTATGGGTGACGCACACCCCACAGAGCCAACCATGCCACCCTCCAATCCGAACCCCACTGTGATTTGGGGGTACCCTCCCAGTGATAAGCCACCCAAGAGCAACAGCTCTGCCACGCGTGTCTCTGTGTCCCCGGCTGGGCCAGGAGAGACTCCGGAAACGTCGGCTGCAGCGGGCTATGACTCAGCCTCGCTTTGGGGGAGACACTTGCTGCCCTCGGGCGGCCGAGGGGGTCTGGCCAGCTCAGGATAAGGGGTCTGCAGGGCCACAGGCAGAGGGCAGGGAGCTTTTGGCCAGGGTTAGGAGTCACCGGCGAGAGGCCAGCATTTGACCTTGATGGTGGGGAGGGGCACATGCTATGAGTCAGACCAGATTTTGAGTTCAAGATTTCTATGGTGTTAGGAAAACTTCCGGCATCTCTGCGCTCCTCTGGGGAATGTTAAGATCCAGAGGGATACTACCACCTCCGGCTCCCAATCAGCCTCATTAGGCCCTTCAGAGTCTGGGTTTTCGGCTTAAGTCTCATGAGGAAAAAAAAAAAATCAGCCCGGGTCAATTCCCCAGTGGGGTCCCTCCCGGGTGTCACTGGGGGCCCCTTGCCCCAGGGGCCGAGCACTCTCCTCCTTCCCCCAGGCCCACAACTACTCACAGCTCCTGTGTTCAGCCTGACGGGCCCGGAAAACCCCCAGCCTGGGTCTGTCAGGGTGGCCCTGGTTTCACAGTCCCCTGGTGGTCCCACAGCACGCACATCCTGGGTGCTGGAGGTTGGGTGGAGGTCAGCCAGGGCTGCGCAGGGATGGAGCTGCAGGGTGTGGAAGCTCTAACTTGAACTGTGGGCTTCTCCCGCCACAACTGCCAACCAACAGGCAGCCCCGCCTCCCACAAAGGCCTGATTCAGCCGGAGGGCGGGCGGGTGGCGGGTGGCGGTGACCTCAGTGCGGGAGAGGAGGGAGAGAAGAGAGGAAGAGCAAAGCCTGTCTGGCCTTGTGGGGAGAGCACAGTCTCAAGCAGCCAGGGACAGAAAAGGGGGAACAGCTGCCTGGGGGTGGGGTGGGGGTGGGGGTGGGGGCAGTTCCTGGCCTGGGGACGTGGCTGGTTCAGCCCAATCGCAGAGTGAATCTGGGTGACCACTATTTCTCCAGCCTAGTGACTAGGCCCTAGTCTGTCATCAGCCTCGTACCCACTGGCCCTGTAAAGCCAGGAAGGGACAGGGGCTTCCAGGGCCCCAGAAGAGATCTCTCCTGGCCTTGCTGGCAGCCAGAGCAAAGGAGTCAGGTCTGCAGGTCCCATTCCCTCCCCTGCCAGGGCTCAGGCAGAACTCGAGTCCAGGCCTGGGCGGAAGGGGCCTGAGAGGTGGCAGCAAGCCTGTCCCCCATGCTCCCTAAGCTGGGCCCTTCGCCAAGGCCTTGGGGCCCTGATGAGCCCCTCACACACCAGCTGTTCCCCCAGAGTCCTCTAGGGAGAGAAGCCAGGGACCGGGACGGGGGGAGGGCTGGGCAGCTGCAGGAAGGCTGCGATGGAGAAGCTCCCTCTAACAACAGAATCATCCGTAACACCAACGGCTTCCCCTCCGCTCCTCCCACCCCCCATTCCCCAGCTGCTTTCTGGAATCCCTGTCACACCCAAGAGTCCATGGTAAACAGCAACTTCTGCGCCCAGCAAACACTCCCTCCGGGCTGCCTTGGGGTGTATGGAGGCATATAGGGCACCCCTGGCCTGAACGTGGCCACCTTAATCCTTGCCCCAAAGCATCTTTTAGCCCCAAGAATTCCCACAGGCCTCTTCCCTCCTCAGGGAAAGAGGGAAGACTGGAATTTCCCTCCCTCCTCCTGACAACTGGCCACAGAGAGGCATGTGTCCCTGGCTCTCCCCTCCCACTTCCTCCTCACGGCCACTCCGAGAACCTCCGAACTGTGATGTGGGCTCTCTGAACCGATAGCAGGATCAACCACCTGCCCTTCCAGGCAGTGCAGAAGGGCAGGCATGTTAGGAGCCCAAAGGCTTATCTCTCCTCCCTGGGATCCTCGTGTTCCCGTCCATAACAGAAGCCAACAACAAAAACGCAGCTGCCAGGGTGGGAGGTGGGCGGGGGTGGAGGTGGGCGGGGGAGGCAGGGAGGCGAGGGGACTCTGACACAGACACAATGGGTTTATTTATAGGGCCACATGCCAGGGGCTCTGCAGCTAAGACGAGGCCCCACTCCCAAAAGCCCAGTGGGGCCAGCCCAGGCCAGCCAAAGGCACTGGAAAAAGCCTCAGACCAAGGGAGCAGATTTAGTCTAGTCTCAACACTGCAATTTACTTGCTGTGTGACTTTAGGCAAATTACAGTCTCACAGGGACAAGTTCCTTCATGCCAAGTGGAGGTTTTTCCAGAAGAACAGTGGTTCTCAAAGTGTGGTCCAGGGACCCCAAAGCCCTTTCAAGGAGTCCACAGGTTCAAAACTATTTTCCTAATACTATTAAGACATTGTCTCTTTTACTTTCTTCCTCTGATAATTATAGAGTAGCATTTTTCAGAGATCATGTGATAGATGATATCACAAAAGATTGAATACAGAAGCAGATACTGAGAATCCAGCTGCCTTTTATTAAGTCAGACACAACAGATTTGCAAAAATGAAGAACAATGACATTCTATTTACTATTTATTTTTGTTTTGGAAAAATATATAATTATTTTTATTAAATACATTGATTTTTAAGAGTGTAGAGCAGCAATTTTCAACCAATGTGCTGCAAGAATTTTTAAAAACATTCAATATCTGACTATTATTTAGTCAGGGCCACTGACCTCTTTTCCCTCAAACTGTCAAATAAAAAAATGACAACAGCCAACAGAACAATACTCGTTTGGTGTGAATGAGCCAAAATTACACCTAATATTTTTGTTAGATCAGCAAAAATATTTTTGTCGTACTGCAGAATTTTAGTAATTAGTTTATGTGTGGCATGAGATTAAAAAAAAGGTTGAAAATGGCTGGTGTAGAGGGCTCCTCAGGCCAAATAGTGTGAGAATCACTTTTCTAGGAGTGTTGTCCAGTTTGTGATAATGAAAATATTTATTCTGCTGAAACCAGTTTGGCTCAGTGGATAGAGCATCAGCCTGCAGACTCAAGGGTCCCAGGTTCGATTCTGGTCAAGGGCATGTACCTTGGTTGCGAGCACATCCTCAGTGGGAGGTGTGCAGGAGGCAGGTGATCGATGTTTCTCTCTTATCGATGTTTCTAACTTTTTATCCCTCTCCCTTCCTCTCTGGAAAAAATCAATAAAATATATTTTAAAAAAGAAAAGAAAATGTTTATTCTGTGCTGTATAATATGGCAGCCCCTAATCACACATGGCTAGTCCAAAAGAGGAACTGAATTTTATTTATCTATTTAAAAAAATTTTTATTGGTTTTTAGAGAGAGAGGAGAAGAGAGAGAAACATTGATTGGCTGCCTTCCACACCCCAACGAAGAATCGAACCCACAACCTAGGTATAAGCCCTGACCTGGAATCAAACCCACCACCTTCTGGTGTATGGGATGATGCTCCAACCAACTAAGCCACAGCAGCCAGGGCTGTACTGAATTTTCTATGTTGACAGCCAGATGCAGTCAGTGGCTGCTGTGTACTGCTGTGCTCAACAGTGCAGTTCTATAAGACCCCTGGAATCTAGAAGATTCCTTGACTTTAGCATTGTAGGTCAATGCTTCTTTCCACAGACTATAGAGGCTGGTGGTAGGAAGAAACAGAAACTGGCATGTACTCCTGTCCCCAGACTTCTACTCACACTATTTCTCACTTTCAGTCACCAAAGGAAAGCCATCTCAGCCACATGGTCAGTCCTGCCTGACACTCCTACCAAGGCTTACTGTTAGAGAGGCTCTCTCATTCTGACACGACTCCTTCACACCCTCTCCTCAAACTCCTGGCCCCTCACCTCTTGTTTCCCCGAAGGATGAAAAGCCAGCAGAGGGAAAACCCCTCAAATCTCTTGCCACCACCCTCAATCTCCACACTGCCTCCTGTTACAGCAGAGAAGCTGCCCTCTCCCCAGGCAAAGCAGTCCTTCCTGCCCAGCCCCTTCAGTATCTACCTCCTGAAGGGATCTTTCCCACCCACCTTTAACACCTACCAGGTGTCTCCCTCCCTCCCTCCCTCCCTCCCTCCCTCCCTCCCTCCCTTCCTCCCTCCCTCCCTTCTTTTTTATAATAGCATACTTTATTTAACATTATCTTAAAGATCATTTCACATTAACACATATATCTCATCTTAAAAGTAATGTTCCTCTGAGGGATTCCAAAATGGCAGCAGAGTAAGTAGAGCTACACTGACATTCTCCCAGGACCAAACCAGAAATACAACTAAAATACAGAAGAATCGCCCTGAACAATCAACTGAAGACTAGCTGGAGAGAACCCTGATAACCAAGGATGGAAAGTGGAGACTGCATAAAGACTGGTAGGCAGTGCGGAGACGTGAAAGGGTTGTCCGGCTCCCACAGACAGCAGCTGAAGTCTCGGATATCTCAGCTGTGGGGGGTTCCCACTGAGAATGCTGGGGTCTAAACCCCAAGCTGGGCTCCCCAGAGCACCAGAACTGAGAAAGGTGCCCACATAACATCTGTCTGCCAATCAGAGATGTCTGGAAAGGCAGGCACCCTCTTAAAGGGCCAACACAAAAAATTTCGTGTGCAGCCACTCACCTTGGGCTCCAATAGAGGCAGAGCAGAGAGGACTGGAGCTGTGTGAGGAGAGCAGGTTGGGGGCTGTGGGCTGGTGCTCCGAGGGCAGCCACCTCAGTTTCCTGTGCTGAGTCATTTCCTCACACTGCGAGGAGACCCTCCTCCACAGACCTCAGCTATCCAGGCTTTTTGCCTGGGGAGAAGGCAGTTGCCCCATCCTCTCACCCCACCTGAGGCTAATCAGGGCAGATAACAATGAGACTGAAGGCAGAGGAAGATTAATGGAGGCTTTGAGTTTTTGCCTGATCTCCTCCTGGGCTTGGGGCTAGGAAAAGCAGACCCTGGTGCACATGTTGGTCCTTTCCAAAGGCACTCAGCCCCAGCAGAGGAGCCACAAGCTGTGGATTACTGATAGCTCCAAACCGTACTCAGGACCAGTCACAAACAGCATCTGACATTGTCCTGCACTAGAGATTGGAAGTCGTAGCAGCTCTACTTAGTACACAGACACAAACCCAAACAGGCCACCAAAATGGGAAGACAAAAAAAAGAAGAAGAAAAAAAAAAAAAAAAAGAAAAGAAAAGAAAAGAAAGAAAGAAAACAAGCCTGAAATGAAAGAACAAGAGAATTCTTCAGAAGAGCTAAATGAAATTAAGATAAAAAAAATTTATCAGACATAGAGTTCAGAATAATGATGGCAAAGGTGTTCAACAGTAGGAGAAAAGATATAGTAACTATGATGAATGACACAGAACTAATAAAGAACACAGAGAACCAAAAAGAAAAAAACAAGCAAAAAGCAGGAGGCTAGCTTAAGGGAGTGTGGGACAACACTAAACATAACAATATTCACATAATAGAAATACCAGGAGGGGAAGAAAGTGAGCAAGGGATAGAAATGAATTTGAAGAAATAATGGCAGAAAACTTCCCTAACCTGATAAAGGAAAAAGTCACACAAATTCAGGAGGCACAGAGAGTCCCAAGCAAGAAGAACCCAAATAGGCCCATGCCCAGACACATCATTATTAAAATGTCAAAAAATAAATATAGAATCTTAAAAGCAACAGAGAAAAGTGATTTGTTACCTACAAAAGAGCTCCTAAAAGGCTCTCAGCTGATTTCTCATCAAAAACACCAGAGGCCAGGTGGGAATGGCATGAAATATTCAAGGTAATGAAAAGCAAGAATCTGAAACCAAGATTACTATATCCAGCAAGACTATCATTCA